GCCAGTGCCCCCTCTCCCCTCAGTATTTCCCCAGGCTCTGGTTTCATTTCCCTTCCTTCTCCATCTCCTGACCCACTAGTTACTCAGTTCAGTGTTGCATTGTACTCTCAAATGCCTTTCCTCTTTGTCCCACAGATGCTTCATGCCTGGCCAAATCACAACCCAGCACTATCTGCCTCCTTCTTGCCTACTCATGTGCTACTGAGTGGAACAGCAGGAAATCATGAGAAACAACTATAAAGTTGTGTTATCTAATCTCACTTGGGCCCTCACTGCCGCAGGGCAATTCCTCTGTAATTGAATCTCTATTCCACTCCCAACTGTGGTTTTTTCAAATCTAATCCTTTGCAGACTATCTACCCCATATCTGGAATGTCCTCCCTACTAATCTCCACCTCTTTAAATCCCTCATTTCCTTCAAAACTCAGTTCACTAGGGGCAGCAAGGAGGTACAGTGGATAGAGCACTGGCCCTGTTGTCAGGAGGACCTGAGTTCAAATCTGACCTCAGACACATAACACTCACTAGCTGTGTGACCCTGGGCAAGTCACTTAACCCCAATTGCCCTCAACAACAACAACAACAAAAACTCAGTTCACTTGTCTCCACCTTCTGATCTGTTTACCTATCACATTTTCTCTTATTGTTGTTTGGTCACATCTGACTCTTTGTGACCCCATTTGGGGTTTTCTTGGCAAAGATACTAGGGTGGTTTGCCATTTCTTTCTCTAGCTCATCTGACAGATGAGGAAACTGAGGCAAACAGGGTTAAGTGACTTGCCCTGGATCACATAGATTTTTTAATGGTATTTTATGTTTTCCAATTACATGGAAAGACAATTTTTAACATTCATCTTTTTTATAAGATTGAGTTTCAAATGTCTCTTCCTCCCTCTCCTCCCTCTTCCCTAAGACTGTAAGCAATTTGATACAGGTTACATATGTGTAATCATGTAAAACATATTTCCATGTTAGTCATGTTGTACAGGAAGAAACAGAACAAAAGGGAAAAACTGAAAAAAATAAAGCTAAAATAGTATGCTTTGATCTGCATTCAGACTCCATGAGTTCTTGGGATGTTCACACAGATTATTAATAAATTCTTGTTAATTGATTGAAAGAACATATGGATTGGACAATGACTAGACAAACTGGGGTACAAGAATATAATGAACTATTACTACACTGGAAAATGACAAATATGAAGACTTCAGAGAAACATAGGAAGACTTATCTGAACTGATACTGTACAAAATAAGCAGAACCAGGGAAAACAATATGCCCAGTGACTATGACAATCTAAATGGAAAGAACAAAAACAGAGATGTTGATCACTAATGCAATTAGAATTGCCAAGTTTGATCCTGGAGGGGAGATGAGAAAATGGTTTTCCTCCCTTCTTTGTAGAGGAGGGCACTGAGTGTAGAACTTTGTATTTTCTGTCACACTTGGTTGATTATTGATTCATTTTGCTGAGCTGCTTTGATTTCTTTGCCACTCATTACAAGACCTTTCACAGTGGACCTCAGCTCTTTTTTTTTTTAAGGCAATTGGGGTTAAGTGACTTGCCCAGGGTCACACAGCTAGTAAGTGTCAAGTGTTTGGTCTGAGGCTGGAGTTGAACTCAGGTCCTCCTGACTTTAGGGTCAGTGCTCTATCCACTGAGCCACCTAGCTGCTCCTGTGGGCCTCAGCTCTTAAATCCTAGAGAGCCTAGATTCATCCTTGGGGCAGGCTATCCCCAAAGGGAAGGAATCTGACTTTTCTCATACTTGCTGGATTATTATACACTCACCTCAGACTAGAATTCCAATGGAAGCCTATAAAACAAGGGACAGCTAGATGGCACAGTAGATAGAGTGCAGGCCCTGGAGTCAGGAGGACCTGAGTTCAAATCCAGTCTCAGACCAGACACTTGACACTTACTAGCTGTGTGACCCTGGGCAAGTCACTTAACCCCAATTGCCTTGCCCTCCCCCCCCAAAAAAGCCTATAAAACAAAGGAAAACAAAGGAAGCTTAGGTATGGCTCATGTCTACCTGGAAGGAATTGACAAAGTTCTGTCTGGAAAACGTACTCAGTGTGCAAAATAGAGATTAGGTATAGACAGCTATTTATTTCCTCTACCACAAAAGAAATTCTTAAAACACAAAAGATTCAAAAGCTTTTTAAGAAATACGGGAAACAGAACAACCCTTCATACCTATTATACTCTGCTGGGAGGTAAGCACAACTTGGTGGGACTGCTGAACAGAGATATGCATTCACGTCAGCTCTAGGCTGCCCAAAGAGCTTACAAGGTCCAGATCTGGTGGGCCAGGCTGTGACTTGGGCTGCACAGTCCTTTGGCTGCAGCATCATCCTGACGAGAAATGACAGCCAACACTGACTCAGGACCTAATGATGTCTCAGAGTCCTGAGGGTACAGCCAGCGCTAGAAATGTCCATGTCTTAGAATGAGCCCAGTGATCTGGGCTCAGGGAAAGAAACACAAAACAGAAGAGAGAGCCCGGGACTTGAGGTCTAATCTCAGGATCAACCATGTGCAATGAAATGTCATTGAGGCAGCTAGGTGGCACAGTGGAGAGAGCACTGGGCCTGCAATCAGGAAGATTTGAGTTCAAATATGACCCCGGACCCTTACTAGCTGGATGACCCTGGCCAGGTCACTTAACATCTGGCTGCCCTACAGGTGATACTTCCTGTAAATATGTCACTTCTCACCAGGATGCAGCTGCAGCCAAAGGACTGTGCAGGCCCAAGTCACAGCCTGGCCCACCAGATCTGGACCTTGTAAGCTCCTTGGGCAGTCTAGAGCTCACATGAATGCATGTCTCTGTTCAGCAGCATCACCAAGTTGTGCTTACCTCTTAGCAGAGTATAATAGGTATGAAGGATTGTTTTGTTTTCTGTAGTTCTTAGCAATTCCACCTGCCCAAAGGGGCCTGGACTCCAAAGACAGCCACATTGGAGAATGCTACCATGAGGGGGATGGAGGGACCCAGGACAAGCAATAGAGTACAGTTATTGCTTCCACATCGCCACTTTCCCCATCGTGGCTTCCAGATATCTCAGGTCGACATAAGAAATTAAATGGGGAAAAAAAAAAGAAATTAAATGGGAATTTGGGGGGGGGGGTTTGCAGAAGCCGCAGACAACATGTGAAGGCCAGCAGACAACACAGAAAAAGTTTAGAAACTCAGAAATGCATAGAATATATGTATAGTATTATATAATATCGACACCTCATAAAAGAAAAAGAAAAAATGCAAACTTCTGGTATGAAGGGAGGGCCAAAAAATTCTTCGCAGATTTTCTAGATCACGGGGCAGGAAGGGGGGGGGGAGCACCAATGCCCCTGACCTCCACAATGTGGAAGGGATAACTGTATACAACAAGGACATCATAGAAAGCACCAATGTCAGTCCTCTGAGGCCTGCTCCAGGGTTGTGGCCTGCGCGCCCATGCTGAACTGTGTTCCTCTCCCCACCCAGCGCGATCTACCTTTCCAATCAACCACCCAGGCTGTCTTTGGCTGGAAATTTGTTTCACTCTGTCTTTTTGTGGGTTCTGCTGCTTTAGAATCTGTTTAGAGTCATTTTTTATAGGTATTTGGAGGGACTTGGGGGAGAGCTCAAGCAAGTCAACTGCTTTCCCTCCGCTATCTTGGCTCCGCCCCCTCGAAAGCACCAACGTCAAAGACAACTCAGAAGTTCCAGGCTGGCCCCTGGCAGTACCCAGGTTGGGACTGCTCCCCATGAAGTTCTGTGGCTCTCCTACCTGTTTCCCAGCTGAGTATTTCGGACCTGTGTATGTGAAGGTGTCTTTCTCTGCCTTCTACTAATAATCCTTCATATGCAAAGGGCAGGAGGCTCAACACAGGAAAGGCCCCTAGCAGTCACTGAATCCAAGCCCCCTATCTTACAGAGGAGGAAGCTGAGGCTCAGAAAGTTAGAGTGACTTTACAGGTTCGTAGCTTTGGAGCTAGCTCATCTCATCCAGAGAAGGAGGCTGAGGTCTAAGGGAGGTGATGTGACTAGTAAGTCCCAGAGCTGGAACTGGGTGCCTGGTCCTCCCCATTTCCTAGACTGAAATGTAAATGTGTCCCTCCCAGATTCAGTGAATGCAGAGCAGTATGTTAAAGGCAAGACTTTAGTCCTTGGCAGGACTAATCTAGGGATAGATATGGGCACAAGTTATTTGCCTCCTCCAGAGTAGGCCTGGCCTGGAGAGGGGAGCCTTCTTCTCTCTTCTTCCTT